TTAGTCGTGTCTTTTCCAAGCTGAAAAGTCCCAATCTTATTAATCTCGTCTCATGTGGCAGCTGCTCTGTACCCCTAATCATTTTTGTTGTCCTTTTCTGAACCTTTTCCAATTCCAGTATATCTTTTTTGAGATGAGGCGACCACAACCACATGCAGTATACAAGATGCGGGTGTACCTGGATTTATATGATATTTTCTGTCATCTTATCTATCCCTTTCCTAACGATTCCCAACATTCTGTTCCCTTTTTTGGCTGCTGCTGCACACTGACTGAACTATCCACAATGACTCCAAGATCTCTCTCGAGTGGTAAAGGCTAATGTAGACCCCATCATTTTATATGTATAGTTGGGATTATGTTTTCCAATGTGCATTATTTTGCATTTATCAACATTGAATTTCATCTACCATTTTGTTGCCCAGTCACCCAGTTTTGAGAGATCCTTTTGTAGCTCTACACAATCTGCTTGGGACTTAACTATATTGAGTAATTTTGTCCCTTACATTCATTTATCTTTTTTTTGCTGCACTCTTTTACCAATTACTTATTCTACGTTAAAGGAAGGCATCAATATGATACCATATGATGGAAGTTGTTTTTACAGTTTTTTTTTTTAAATCTAGAATGTTACACACACAAAACCTACAATAAAAGAACACTGAGGTTGCAAAGACAAAAGTTACTCAAAGGTTATGAAATGCAGAATTAAGATTCTATGGAACCTTAATTTGGCCCTTTATACATATGCATTATGACAGTTTTTAATTACATTATCACATACTACTTTGAGACAGGACTCCTGTCTCATTTACTGAACATAGGGTACTCACTATTCAATATTTTGTTTTCTCCTTGTTCAATTTGTGGCTCACGCCTTACTGCACATTATTCAATGCTGCTTTGAAGACATAATTATTGATTTCTTCATAGGCTTTTCTAAGGCACTCATCACTACATTATCTGAGTGCTTCACACACATTAAGTTGTTTTCATAACACTCTTGTGAGATGCCTGGGTATTATTATCTCACTTTACCAACGTGGGAGGCAGAGGCAGATTAAAGTCAAAAGTGTCAACACAAGCCACCCAGCCTGTCTAGGTTAATCAGAGGATCAGGGTTAGAAGGGACCTCAGGAGGTCCCTCAAGGCAGGACCAATCCTTTTAGTATAGCCCTGTTCTTGGTTTCTCATTTAAGAGGCATCGGTCACTGTTCAGAGAAACTGCAGCAGTATTTCTCCTCAGTGGTACAGCAAAGGCCACCCACTCTCAGGCTTCCAGTTACTCAGCCATTGCACTTTTGGGTAAAGACCCACATCTCACTCCCTTCTGATTGGGGTATTACCAGACAGCACAGTTCCCTGCCTTCACTGTGTTATTCCCAGCAGAGACAGTCTGCCCAAGCACAGTGCGACTGCCCATAGTTATTGATGTCACACACTCTTTTTATGCAAGCCTCTTGTATTATTAGGCTAAAAGCACTAGAGAGAACACATTAAAAACAATAGAAGAAGCTACACATATGCTAATAAGCTTACCAGACATCACCTGATCTCTAACAGGTTCTGGCAGGAGCAGCAGTCTTTCAACACCCCACCCAAGGGGTTTACTTTATGGTCACAAATTCATCACAGTTTCAGCTCATCACAAGCACTCCATTTTATGGGGCCTTAGTAGACCAAGTCCTTCCAATCCTAGGCCTTGGCTACACTTGCAGCTGTACAGCGCTGTGAGGTAAACCTGTCTTCGTACAGCTGAGTAGGGAAAGTGCTGTCCACACTCTCAGCTGCCAGCGCAGTGGCATGGCCACACTTGCAACATTTGCAGCTGTGTTGGGAGCGGTGCATTATGGGCAGCATTCATGTGGCTGCAACGTGCTTTTCAAAACAGGGGTGGTGGAGTGTGACAGGGAGTGTGGGGGAAGAGAGAGTGTGCTTTTTGGAGCGTGTCAGCACTCTATTTTGCAAGTTCCGAACTCCTGGCCCCCTGCTCATCCATTCACTCACTCAAAGCAAACAGCAAACTGTTTGCTTTTTCTCTGTGGTACGAGCTTTGAAACCAGCACTTCCGCATTTCTGCAGCCGGTCACAACAATGGAGAGGATTGGCCACTTGACAAGGTGATCAGTACAGCGCTGCAGGTTGATTCCTGGTACACACTCACAGGGGAGCGTCGTAGCCACTCTGCTGTATCTCTTATGCTTCTCGGGGAGGTGGAGTACCTGCAGCAGTGTACCCAGGGAGATATAGCGCTGCAAGTGCCCTGCCAGTGTGTTATAGCACTGGGGGAGGCTTTACAGCGCAGTAACTCGCAAGTGTAGCCAAGGCCATACTCTAAGGGCTTGTCTACACCATGCAGCTTTTAGCGATAAGGCTGTGTCGTCACTAAAGATCAATGTGTGTAAATGCTCTTTGTCAGTACTTCCATCCCCGTAAGCGGCATTAGCTTTGTCGACAGGAGAGCTCTCCTGCCAACAAAGCCACGTTCATACTGTCACTTGCATCGGCAAAACTTTTGTCTTGTCTTTCGTGGGGGTGGGGGGAGCACATACCCTAAGAACTGGGGCCCTCCATGATCATCAGAGTCCTGTCCATTTGCTGAATCAAGAAGAAGGCTCTGAGCCAATTTAAACCAGGCTATTTATCCAAAAATCCTTTCTTTGTCCGTTGATCCCTGGAGAATCCAGTTTGAACTACTATATGCATACCTCTCCAGGGTGGTTTAAAAGGGCTGATAAAGTTAGCATCCCCTCCTGCTAGAGAACATACATACAAAGCCACAACAACACAATGTATATCAAATGTATTAACCGTAATTCAATAAGGTTTAACTAAATTCAATAAAGTTTAACTTAAGTCCATAAGGTTTGTTGGGGTATTACAGGATATTGTCAGACTGTCGCAAGTTAATTATAAACTACAGGAAAGAATAATTACACATTAGTCTGGAGAAACTTTTTTTTAAAAATCCTCAAAGAGTTCAAATCTTAATGTCTGAAGCAAGTTAAAAAGTAAATAAAAAACCACAATCTATTTCCTTATTGCATACTGCTTTATTTCCACAGAGGCAAACGAATAGTAAATCTTTATAAGTGGGAATTAGACAGATGGGAAATAGGAAAAGCTCCTTTACCCTTCCACATAAAATTCATAGTTTGGAGGGATAAGTTGGTAATTACTTGCACAAGTTTACAACTGTTATCTTACTGTGCAATGAGATTTAACATGAACTGGACAGAGCCAACAGTTCCACATAGTTCTGTTCTTTTATGAGCTTATTAAATTTTTCTACATAATCAATCAGCCATTATAAAATGAATCCAGTAAGCAATTGATCCAACTGGATACAATTTGTTGACTGGGAGAGAAATTGCCAAAAAATATTCAAATCGGAGTCATTTCCCCCTTCATTACCAATATTAAAACATATTGTTAGGACAAACATGAAGAAAAATTGCATTACTGAAATGAAAATTTCATGAAACTCCACAAAAGGTTTTATTATGAAGGTTTTAGTAAGAACCTTGAACAAAGCCTGAATGGATGTGATTAACAATCCAATTAAAACACTTGGGTGGAGTAGCTGAGCTCTAGGAAGGTGCTTTAGAACTGCTTCTGAAAAAGCAGAAAAGCCTTTCAAAGGGAAACAGGAAAAATCCTTCTGTCAGCACTGTGCCAGACTTCCTGAACCACAAACCCTCAATTTCTTGCCTGTGCTTCCCCACACAAATATTGCTAAAGCAGACTTCTGTAGATTTTATAAATAATTAGCTATACAAAATATGCTAAACTTGACTAGTCTATCACATTGTCAATACATTGGAGAAGAACCTAGTAATCTGTAATATGACTAACACAATGACTCTTTCTCTTTGGGAATGAGAAGTTGACAGTAAAGCAGAAAAGAATCCGACTGTAAGCTCCTTGGGGCAGGGATCTGTCTATTTGTCTTTAAGCATCTAACACACTTTGGGGTACAAAAATAATAAATATGTTATTCAGCAATTGTGGGCCTTGGAAAGATAAGGAAAATTGCTTGAGGACAGCAGCATAAACACACTTATTTCTTACCTCCTAAAAAACCCTCCAAACCTATTCTGAGAGCAGACACAGCTCAGTTTTTAATGTCGCATCTGAAGAGTGCCTATTATTCAGAGTACCAGCCATTCTGAACTGTATAGGTGCGTCTTCCTTTCTAAACCCACTTTGTGGGGCCCTACCTGGAAAAGAGGCCTGTCCTCTGAGCCCACAAATCACCGGGGGGGGGGGGGGGAGAGAGAAGATATCGCCGTATCCCGGCAGCCCCCGTGTACCCTCCCCTACAGCCGTTGCCGCCTCCGTACACTCCCTACGCCCCCTTACACCCTTCACCGCCCCCGTGAACCCCCCAAGGCCCCTCCTCTACCGCCGTGCTGCCCCGTACACCCTCTACGCCCCCCGCTATCATGCTCCCCTGTGCCCTCTTCTCGCCCTGGTGACACAAAACTGGCCCCTCTCTCCCAAGGCCGCCCCGCACCCCTGCCCATGGCTGCTCTCTGGCCACAGCGGGACAAAGGGAGCAGCTGGGGCGGCGGTGTCGGGAGCGATCCCTCAGGCCAAGCCACCCCGCTGACTCACCTGGGGCTGAGCCACTCTCTCAGCACCGGGGCCTCCGCCAGACTCTGCCCGTCTCCATCCTCCCCCGGCTGCGGCGGCTGCCCCGGGCGCCAGGCTCAGCGACCGATGGCCCAGGTCCGAAGCGGGGTTTCAAACTGCGCCACAACAACCGGCGACAATTCCCTTGAGGCCCGGCTTCCTCCGTGTCACCGCGACTGGGACAGCCGGTTCCCCAGCTGCTGACATTTCCCTTTGGCCAATCGCTCGCCGTCCAACAACGTCATCGACCGACGCCCAGCCGGGCCGCACGGGCTTCTGGGTAGGCCGACTCCGGCGCCGCTGAACTACATATCCCAGGAGGCATTGCGGCTGCCTCTGCCCCAGCTGCTATCCCTACTTCCGTTAGGAGTAGCGCGCGCGCGTTGGGAAATGGAACGTTACCCCAGCCGCGCTCAGTTCGGTGGTACTGCTGCTGCGCAGAGAGGAGGCGCGGGAAGGGACGGTCGCTCCTGCTGCGGGTTAGTGCGGGGACCAAGGCTCCCAGCTTCTAATGCCTCTGCGCCAGGCCACCATGCACAGGTAACGCGGCGGCCGGGGGCAGCTGGCATGCAAGGGGTGGGCTGCACTGGGTGTTGCAGAGGGAAGGAGTGAGTGGTGGTAGTTGCCGCCCAAAGCATAGGCTGCTGCTGTGTTGCACTGGGCTTTGTTATCCGTTTGTCTACGCGATGTTAGATCCCTAACGCTGGGGAAACCGCATCTGCATCCCCCAAGGCTACGGGTAGTTAATAGCAGGTAGCCATGTGATTTTGGCGGAAATCTGAGCGGGGCTGAGGTATGGGGGCCAATAGCCTGGATGGTGGTGACTTGGAGAGGTGTGTATGTGTGTAGTATTGTCCAAAATACAGTGATCCTGTAACAAACCCGTGTTCACAGAGGATTTTGCAGTTTTTACTGTGCTGCACGTTGTGACCATTTGGAACTTTATAGCAGTAGTGCAGCTAGATCCCCTCTGCTTCGAAGACACAGGCCCTACTGATTGAGCTAAAACAGAATCTCCATTAGTGGATAGCAGTGTGGACATAACTGAGTAGTTCTGATTATCTACACAGTGTAGGGCAGAGATCTACAGCTATTGGCCAGTTCATTATAGTTTCCTCTATAAATGAAACATATTTTCAAGCATCTGAGGTTAAGTGAGTTCATACTCATTGTTGACGGTTGTGTCTTTGGCCCTCTGGGTCTTCACAGATGTCACTTTGCATCACACTATGGCTACTTAGAACTTCATGGTGATAATAGGACCAAAATGGAGAATAAATGCCTATCATTTGTGCTAACCGAAAGTCTCTGTTAGCAGTACAAGGCCTGTGATACACACTTTGAGCAGTGCTAACTCCATACAGTAAGTGATAAGGGTACATCTACGCACTAACTAGTTCACTGCAGTATTTCAAAGTGCTGTACAAACACTGTAATCTTTAATTCCCCTGGGAGGTAGATAAGTAATCGCTATTCTATAGGTGAGGAAATTGAAGCAAAAGAGCTTAAAAGCAGATGTCTATTTCAGAGGCAGGATTAGAATTAAATTTCTTGACTCAGTTCTTTATTCAAATCACCAGATCACACACTTGACTATAGATTGTAAACTGCACAGAGTTCACGTAGGTGGATGAAGCTATTCTGGCAATGAAAGATGGTGAAGTCTTGTTAGATCATTCATTGTCACCCCAGCCATTTCTTCCAGTTATTTGTGCAGTCCCATTGTAATAGACCCAAACAAATGGATTTCCTATTCTGAAGCATGATAATAATGTGCAGTATTCTAACTCACCACAGAGGCAATATCTCTGCTTTGTTGCTGTTGACTAGATTCCCATCCCTTTGTGATGACACTGTTCAAAATTGTAATATTCTTTTTTTTTGCAACCATATCGTGCTGCAAAGTCATTTTCTGATTTACTCGTCACCCTAAGTGGGTCCATTTCAGCATTTCTGCTTCCCAGGTTACTTCTTTCCATTAAATATGTGTGTTTCAGACTATTTCCCCCACAGAGTATCACATAAATCTGTTCAGTTTGATCCTTATATGTATCCCAGGTCTGGAGATGTTGTAAAGCCCTATAGGATTTTTGAATGCTATAGAAGTACAAAGCATTGTTATTGATTTTTCACTGAATTGTATTGCTTATCGTAGGGGATGTAGGTGCAGCCACCTGTGCCATTTTGTGTTGTCTTTCTACATACTTCTAATTCCGACATTTGGTGTTGGGGTGGATGAGCGTAACTTGTGCTGTTCCTGCAGGAGACATCTCCAGGAAATCCCAGCTTCAGACAGCAATGTTTCCACAAGCTTCACATGGTCATGGGACCCCACCAAGACATCAGAGCTACTTTCAGGCATGGGAGTGTCTGTCCTTAAGAAAGAGAAGCTGGGCAGTGAGAACACCCCTCAGGAGCTGCTAGTGTCTCTTTATCCTCCTCAGAAACGACAGAAAGTGAAAGAGAAGGACAAGGACTTTGTGATTGCACGCAGGCCTAGGCTTCTCCGAGAGACCGAGTCAGGTAGAGTAACAGCAGCCCAGGCTTGTGTCGGCTTGTAACAATGATAATGACTGAGGTCAGATACTGCAAATCACTAATAGTTTAGTTGCTTCTTACAAAGTTTGATGTCTCGGAGCAGACTCTAGTCCAGGGATCGGCAAACTTTTGGGCTCGAAGGCCACATTGGGGTTGCAAAACTGTATGGAGGGCCGAGAACGGAAAGCTGTGCCTCCCTAAACAGCCTTGCCCCCGCCTCCCTCTGACCTCTACCACTTCCCATCCCCTGACTGCTCCCCTCAGAACCCCCGACCCATCCAACCCCCCTGCTCCTTGTCCCCTAACCCCCGGCCCCTAACTGTCCCCCGGGACACCACCCCCTATCCTACCTTCCCTGTCCCCTGACTGCCCCAACCCCTATCCACACTCCTGACCCCGACAGGCCCCCTGTGACTCCCTCGCTTATCCAATCCCCCGTCCCCCTACTGCTCCTCCACCCCATCCAATTGCCCCCGGGACCCCCTGCCTCTTATCCAACTCCCCGGCCCCCTTACCATGCTGTTTAGAGCAGCATGTCTGGCCGCCGTGCCACCCGGCCGGAGCCAAACACGCTGCCATGCTGCCCTGCAGGAGTGCGCTGCCTGTGCAGCGGTGTAGCTACAGGGGAGGGTTGCACAGCTGGGGAGGGACTGGGGGCTAGCCTCCCCGGCTGGGAGCTCAAGGGCTGGGCATGATGGTCCCGTGGGCTGGATGTGGCCCATGGGCCATAGTTTGCCCACCTCTGCTCTAGTCCCTGGATCTAGTGAATTATGGGAGGTAAAAAAGAAAGAGACTTGAAAGAAACACACACAAGTTTGACTTTCCCCTCCCACATCGAGAGGAGCCTGTATGCCCTCAAGAGAGAGTTACTGTTAGGAAGTGGTTGATGGGGAAGGATAGCTCAGTGGTTTGAGCATTGGCCTGCTAAACCCAGGGTTGTGAGTTCAATCCTTGAGGGGGCCATTTAGGGATCTGGGACAAAAATCTGTATGGGGATTGGTCCTGCTTTGAGCAGGGGGTTGGACTAGATGACCTCCTGAGGTCTCTTCCAATCCTAATATTCTATTACTCTATTGCTTCCTTAAAGGAGACCTGTGAATGGATAGTATTTTATCATATCTGGAGAAAATATTTCCCATGGGTCATAGAGACTGATAGCTACTATGTAGCCCATCATTTCTTCTAATCTGTTTTCTTCAATAAGGATTAAATAGGATTTTGGATTTCGCCCATTTCCCAGATCTGTAGTTACAGCAGTTTTGGCCAACAGAGGGTGGATTAAAAAGAGATCAACTCAGATAGATTCAGAAACATCTTTCCAGCAACAGATTATACTATCTGAAGACCTCTGATCTAAACGTCACAAGAGATGAATATTCTCAGGGCCTTCATAAGATCTCAGTTTGAGTCTCCTCCTTACCATCTAGTAACTTACTAATGCTTATGACTTTCTTTATGGTATTCTGGTGAGTTTACACGGGCTGTTTTTTGAACTGCCACTCTTCTCATTTATGCCCAACCTGACAAATATTTCTTTTCAGATAAAGTTGTGATCTGGGAAGTGCTGGCTGGGGTTCCTATCTAAAATGTACAGTCTCCCATCCCATTTAGGGAATCCCTTCTTCCTTTGTTCCACAGACCTCTTTGGAGCAGTAACAGCATTTTCTAGATGTACGTAGTTCCTTGAAAATGTCCTTGCTTAAGAAAAGAATGTTTGGATATTAGGAAGGTGAAATAACTCAAAAAAGCAATATCACAATATGTATTAGGGGCTGTAGTCAGGAAAGTCATGAATTTTAAGAAGGGCTAATTGCACAAGGGAAAGATTCTGGTTTTGGAACCCTTCACACACTTTCTCAGAACACGATGGGTTGGACAAACAGGCTTCAGAAGATAAATGTGGGACAGTGCTGTTGGCAGCTATTTTTGCACCTACGCACACAGCACCTTTCCACTTTCCTTAAGGAAATGTAAGTACCGAAGTAGTGGACTAGTGTATCCATAGATCAACAAGGAAATGAAGTGGTGATGGTAGGGCAGGGAATTTTTCTGTTGTCTTTAAGATTTTTGTTTAACGGCAAAACTGTTGAAATGTCTAATCCAGTGGTCTCCAAACTTCTTTGATTGCGCACCCCTATCAGTAAAAAAATTTTGAGCACACACCCGCTGCCACGCCGACTCTACCATTTTTGCCGAAGCAAAAAAAAAAGCCGCTCAGACTCCTACCCGAACTGAAGATGAAGCAAAAAAAAAAAAAGCGCTCCTCCTGCCGCGCACCCCCAAGGATCCTCTGGCGTGCACCGCACTTTGGAGACCACTGATCTAATCAGTGGACAAAAATGAATCCGATCTATGTAAAACCTGTTAACTGTTTTCTTAAAGGTATTTCTTGGGATGCACTACCAGATGAATTGCTATTGGGGATCTTTGCATACTTACCCCTAGCTGACCTGCTAAAAGTTTCCCAGATTTGCAAGAGGTGGCAACGCCTAGCGTGAGTATTGCTTTTTACTTGTAGGTGTTGAGAACGGTGTTGCTTTTTAAAGGTTGTTAAATGGTCTCATTCGCATCTTGATGCATTTGGGCTGTGCCCATAGCTAATTTAAAGCCTCTGCTCTCTTCCAGCCCTCCCAATAATGAAACCTGGGGTCATGATCACTTTCTCTCTCTCTCTGAGCTCTTCTATCATGCACCCACCTGTTCCATTCATTAATTCCAGACTCCTATCTTCCCCCAAATTCCTTACATCTTGCTTCCCACTAAACAAATAATGCCCCCTTTCCCACAGAGTTCCAGTACTTGCCGGAGACTACAGCCTCCCAGCCACACTTCTCCACGTGGACCCTCTACTCCTTGCTTCCCTTCTCTGGGAAAAGCAGCAAAAGTTCCAACTTCCCTGCTGTCCTGTTCCCTCTTCTTGGGACCAATGGAGCCCCAATTCAGTTGAGCAAAATTTCTGCTCTCTTTGGGTCTTCAATCCCTGTCAAATATTGCAGAGAGTTTCATACAGTATCTTGGCTCTTCATATTCAGGAATACAAATGTGCTTTGCAGTCAGATCAGTGAGAAATCTCAGTAATGTTTGTAAAAAGAACAGGAGTACTTGTGGCACCTTAGAGACTAACAGATTTACAAACAAATAAGCTTATGCTCAAATAAATTTATTAGTCTCTAAGGTGCCACAAGTACTCCTGTTCTTTTTGCGTTTACAGACTAACACGGCTGCTACTCTGAAACCGGTCAGTAATGTTTGTATAAGTAAATCCTTGCTGAGTTGATTTCCTTGTTTTGCACATTCATTTATAATATTAAAAGCTGTTGATGGCAGTGTCCTTTGCTTTGGCCTTCGATTACTTACTAACAATCAAACTCCTTTCCTCCTTAGGTTTGATGAATCGCTCTGGCAGACACTTGATCTGACTGGTAAAAATCTGCTGCCAGGAGTGATTGGACAGTTGCTCCCTGTGGGTGTAACTGTATTCCGTTGTCCAAGATCCTGTATTGGGAAACCACTGTTTAAAAACAACCGGTAAGGCTGTCACCATCTCTTGGTGCCCTGGAACAAAGTCTCCCTTTCAGTTTTTCATATAGTTCAACCAATCTCTTTGATATAGCATCTCTGGTTGTCACACTTGTGGCATCTATAAATTTTAGAATGGCAGCATCATGGAGCAGGGAATAAGGCACTGGGCTGAATATCAGGGGAAGTGCATTCTGTTCTTACTTGATTCAGAATTGTTCAAGAACTGATTAACACAATCTTGAGAAGTATAGTCTACTACCATTATTCAGTAAAAAAATTTTTTTTTTAGAACCAAGAACTACTGACCACTGAAGTATATTTCTATGCAAAGTTAAAGGAAATATGATTTAACTCTAGCATAAACAGATATTATTATGAGTCTTAAAGATTTGTATGCCTCATAGTAAATAGAATTTTGCAGTTTTGGTAACCAGCTTAGTAATATTGATGGATCAGACATGCATTAAAGCATATATATTTTATGCATTCATTTGTGGTATACAAATGCAGTATACTATCTCAATTTTAGAAAAGCGTTAAAATCCATTTTGTATTGTCTGCCTTTCTCCTCTTTAGACCTCTTAGAGTGCAACATATGGACATGTCCAACTGCACAATAAATGTTGCAGATCTCCATACTGTTCTTTGTCGTTGTGATCGACTACAGAACCTCAGCTTGGAAGGACTGGTGCTTTCTGATGATATCATTAGGTGAGTGGGCATGTTCAGAAGTGTAAGGTTCCTGCATCTCAGGACTACGGGCACCCCCTTTGGTGGCATCAGGGAATCAGTGCTCATGCCTGGTTAGTCTATCAGGCATCCTAGTTGCGGCTGAGCAAGTAGCAGCTTAGGCCTCCTGAATGAGGGCCGAGCAAGTCAACAGTCAGTGGCTCTGGCCTTCTGACCTAAGGGATAGCACTCATCCAGCCCAAAGTGGGGGGTTGGAGGCAGGGGAACCCGGCCCCACCCTGCTCCACCAGGTCCTAGCCTAGGACGCTAGAAATGACAGGTGATTCCATTGTGGGGTTGCCGGGAGTACATGGGGTCAATGTCTCTGTTCCTTCGGCTACTTCCTACCAGCATCTTGTGGGGCTGCTCCATGGCCACCAGGGCCTGGTTCCCCCTCTCCTTGTCAGACGGTCCACTTTCCACTCCCTAGTTTGGTTTCTCAGTCTTCCAGGGTAGCAGTTTGCCTTCCCTCCAAGCTGGCTCTGGAGGGTCATCACTTGCCACAGCCAGTTGTGGGCTCTGCTAACTATTTGGCTCCCTGGGACAGACGTCTTGCTCCTTCCCTGGTCTTGCTCTAAGTGAGCTGCTGGGCCTTGTTCTTATACTACATGTCCCGCCCCCACACTTTCTGCGAGAGAGAGACGGGACGGGGTGAGTTAACCTCCTCTGTGCTGGAATGAGGCCACTCCGCCTCATTGCAAGAAGTATTCAATAATAACTTTTATTGATATGCTTTCTTGTATGCAGAAGGCTCCCCAGGCAACTTACAAATGTAGGCTCTCGTCTTGTAAATAGCTAGACTAACACAGACTTCAGCAAGGACACACTTGTGCCTATGCAGACCCTTGAACCTATCTATTTACAGGATTGAGGCTTATTTTACAAATGGGATAATTCCTTTATCCGTCACAAAAATGCAGCCACCTCTGTGGTGAAACATGGCAGCTGTTTAACAGCGCATAGTAACAGGAAGAGTAGAGGAACATTAAAACTAAAAAAAAACATTCAATTAGGCAGAATGTAAATATCCAAATAGGAATTTGGCCAGGACCTTAGGGGTTATAGCCCTCTTCAAGTGTATGATTTATCCAGTACACTAATGCAGCAGGTAAACAGTTACAGAACATCTATTTAACTGTTAAATTGAAAACCTAGGGTTCACTAGGCCAGTGGTTCTCAAACTTTTGTACTGGTGACCCCTTTCACATAGCAAGCCTCTGAGTGCAACCCCCCTTATAAATTAAAAACACTTCAAAATATATTTAACACCATTATAAATGCTGGCTGCAAAGCAGGATTTGGGATGGAGGCTGACAGCTCGCGACTCCCTCTCCCCCCATGTAATAACCTTGTGACCCCCTGAGGGGTCCCGACCCCCAGTTTGAGAACCCCTGCACTAGGCAAAGATTGTACAAATGTATCTTTACTAAATTAAGGCCATCCTGAGCCTGGAACTTTAAATTATGAAAACAAATTATAAAATTGATACCAGGAGAGATGTGAAAGCATTCTGACTCTCCATCTGTGGTCTTTACAGAAGCATCGCTCAGAATTCCAGTTTGGTGCGATTAAATCTCTCTGGATGTTCTGAATTTTCTGCAGAAGCATTGGAGATAATGTTGATCAGCTGTTCTGGGTAAGACCGAATTAATTTATGCACTTGTTGATATTCCTGGGAGAAATGATCATCTGAGCACCCCACTGGCATGGGTGTATAACTTTTATGAACTATAATTTGTGTTCTTGAACATCTAAATAGGGTATTTTTCTTTGCTGAAGATTCAGATAATTCATGTTTTTGTTAAACTTCTCTTCCTTAAAGAAGGGTACATTTATCTGAAAAGAAAAAAAAAAGTTTGCATGAGGATATTCAAAACAGACACATTAAAGTTGATTTCCTTATTGAAAGAGCAACAAGTCAAACTCTGTCAACGTGAAAGTGTGTCTTTAAAAATTGTGAAATGGCATCTGATGAGCCCCCTTTACACATAGTGTGCAGCTTTGATAGTAGAAAAGATCACGTGATGTTAAAAGATGTTAAAATAATCCTTCAAACACATAGAGACGTTCTAATGCTGATGTAGTACCGTTATAAAAATTTGACAGCTTGTGGAGATTAAGTCCTGTGATCTGCCAACGTGAAGAAGGATGGTCTGTTCTTAAGGCACTGAACTGGGACTTGGGAGATCTGTGGCAGAAAATGAATCCAGAGTTCTTGTGTAATGTTGGCGAAACTACTTAATGCAAAGGCAAGCTTAAAATGTACTGTGGGTTTAAACATACTTCCTCAGTTATACCGTGCAAGTTGTGTAAATAAAACCTTAATCTCTATGCCACAATTTGCAATCTGTAAAATGGGAATATTTTCTTTGTTTTATAGATTGTCCCTGTTTAGGACCGTGACTGTCTGTTTACTACACGTATATGCACTGCTTAGCAGAATGAGGTCCTGATCTTGGTTGGGACCTCTAGGCCAGTGGTTCTCAATCTTTTTGGGCTCAGGACCCAATTGTAAATGTTTATGGCCTGTCATGACCCAGTAAATAGTCTGGGGATGAAGCCCCCAGGGGAGGCTTCAGTCAGATCCTGCACCCTGGGAGGGAGAGGGGGGGGGAAGCTTGGTTCTGCCTGGCACTCACTCCATAGTGGCAGCTCCTACAGCTGCTGTGCTGTGGGTCTGGCTGGGCTTGGCTCTGCATTCTAGGCATTGCAACCTCCGGAGTTGCAGCGCCGCTCAGGTTTGGCCACGCCTCCCTGACTAGACCAAATTTGTGTGAGTAGAGTTGTGACCTGGCTCATGGGGTTTCAGTGCCACTCACTCAAATTTGGCCTTCTCAGACTCCCGTCATCATGACGACTGGGCCAAATCTTAGTGGCACTGGGACCCCAGAGGTTGCAGTGCCTGGAGCCAAGGTGGTGAGCCCGGCCAGCCCCAGGGGACAGGAGCTGCCACGGGACCCTTTGAAACATTCTGATGAGCCAATTTTGGGTCCCGATCCACAGGTTGAGGAAACGCTGCTTTAGGTGGTGCTATATTTTGATAGTAAGTAACAGGACTGGTGCCACACAGCATGTCACGGAGGGTTGGTGTGTTAAGTGGGAGCTGCCCCTGTTTGCCCAGTGTGGGGTTGACACACCCACTCACAAGGTTGTCGAGATTCCTTGTTGTGCCAAATGATCACGATCAAGGGCTCCAGGGCCCCTGTTGAGGCAGAGCAAACAAGCAGTCTGTAGCGCCTGGTTTTCCTGGCTGAGGCAAACACAAGCAGTTGGGACTGTGATCCTTTGGGTAGGGCAGAGCAAACAATCAGTTTATATTGGAAGACCATGGTAGCCACATCTAGTGGCAAGTGTGGGGCAGGAGGACCCAGGCCTACCCTACTTCACCGGGTTCCGACCAAGGGCCCTGTGAAGCTGGTAAACTCTCTATACAGGGTTCAAGTATCCGCTCCTAACAGATTCCCTGGGTCTCTTCCTACCATAAAGCCCATCTTGGGCATCTCCTCGACTGGCAGCAGCTCGGTGTCTCTGCAGTCAGCTGGTCATCCACAGCATAGTCCAGATCCATGGAGAGTCAATGGTTCCTCTGCAGGAGCCTGCAGCACACATCCTTCCTCTTCTTCCACCAACACCGATTGAGCTGAGCTGCCTCCTTTTATCTGTCCCCTCCACCTGGACCATGGGCAGCAGAGGTGAGGGGTTGTGGTCTCCTGGGCCCATAATGCTTGGTCAGTCCCTGTTGGCCCCGTGCGGGGTTGATACATCGTGTACGTTTCTTTGCCTCGCCAATATGTTTTTAACTCTGTCCTAAGTCACCGTAGGATGAGAGGGTGACTCATTTCTTTGACCTACGTTGAGACAATAAAAAAAAATGGTCAGGAGTAGTGGTTATTTATTTGCAATCTGGTAGCACCCACAATGTACAAAACATTGTCCACACAAAGGAGTACACAGTCCCTGCCCCAAGGAGCTTACGGTCTAAGACAAGCAACTTGTGAAGAGTTGAAGAGGGTTGTAGTCAAAACATGTATGATATTTCTGTACATTATGAAAAATAGACACAAACTAAATCAGATGGCCAATTAATAATAGATGGGTTAAGGAGCAAATAGCTGTATTTTTCTTCTTTAAAGGTGGACTCTTATCCGTTAGGAACCAGACTATGGTAGATAGCCCACTTCACAGCAACAACAAATGATGATTACTTTGCCATTGCTGGCTTGATGCATTTTGACAACCAAGATGCTCTTTATTCCATTATTATTCCTCTGTGCCATCTATTTAATCTGATCTCTTGAAATTTGGTGTCATTAATGAAGAAACTTGATGGTATATATCTCATGTACAGTACTATCTATCTATATATTTATTTATTTATTGGTATTTGAATAGTACGTGGATGATTTTAAGGCCAAACCTATGTTTCTGCAGTGCTTCCAAATGGATGTATTTTTATTTGTGCATAGATTAGAAGAGCTAAACTTGTCCTGGTGTGACTTCACAACTGATCACATTAAAGCAGCGGTCAACCACATTTCTGCAAATGTAACCCAACTAAATTTTAGCGGATACAGACAAAGTCTACAGATATCAGGTAAATAGCAGCACTGAGAACTGGGGTTCTAGTGGAATGATATGTGGAACCTTAATTAAGTGTAGCTGTGATTGTTTAACTGTTTGCATCTTCTCTTGGTCTGTCAGACCCAGAGTATTGATTTCAAATGCAATGGTGCTTTTGCCCCCATGAGGGTGTGCTTTATGTTGTACAATTCATAAAACAAAACATTAACCCTAAAACTTAACCTGCGTTATTGCTAATGTTTGTCCATGAGCTCTGAAACACTGATAACCACTTTATTATATTATTATTAATGCTTAACGGCACTTAGACGCCACAATCAGGAATCTGAGCCCCACTGGGCTCATTGCTGTACACACATAATGAAAAGGTGGTCCCTGTTTTACAGAGCTTACAATTAAAGGCGATCAAACAATACAATTTTCAGTCATGAGGAAAGAACTTAGAAATTACAAAACTTCGATTTACACAGGAAAAACTTCAGGTATCCAAAAAACCCAGTCGCTACAAAGATGAGTGTGTTCTACATGATGGAAATTGTGTAGTGGTTTTCAGTTGCCTGAATGAGTTTTGGCGTGCCTCAGAATGCCTGTAAACCTAGTACATTTCTCCTATTAAGAGAACAGTGACTAAATGCAAATGTTTTTCTGGCTGGTACATTAAAAGCTCTTTTATCTGGCACTTCACCAACCGGCAAACTATAAACCGGCATTTCTGATCTGCACTGAAAGTCCGGTTTATAGTGCGGGGCTGGCAGAGGACGGGCGTGGGATGTGCTGTGGGATGCACTCTGGGACGGGGTTTGGGGCAGGGGAGGGGGCTCAGGATGTTGGATGGGGGGGGTGCTCACCTCCAGCGGCTCCATACAAGCAGATCCCCATCCCTGCTGTTGCTGGCCGAGGTGCGTCCAGACGGCTCTGCAGGCATGCTACCTCTGTCCCTGCTCTCGAGTCCCCGAGCGTGGACTCCATGGCGCCCAGCCCATTGCCTGGGAACCACGGCCAATGGGAGCTGTGGGGGGGCGGCACCCGCAGACTGAGGCAATGTGCCTGCTTGCAGAGCTGTCTGGCCATGCTTCCGCCAGGAGCAGCAGGGACAAGGAGCCGCTGGAGGTGCGTGCCCCCCCCATCTGGCACCCCGAGCCCCCTCTCACGCCCCAACCCCGTTCCAAGCTCCCTCACGGACCCAAGCTCCCTCCTAGAGCCTGTGTCCCGCAGCTCCTCCCACGCCCCTGCCCTGCACCCGCCCTGCACTCCAAAACCCTCCCTCTGAGTTAACCGGCATTTTTAATTTACCGGCATCCCCCATTCCCCCAGCATGCCGGTTAAAAAAGCTTTTACTGTATATTGATAGAGCAAATGGCATTTCAGGGGCTACTTTTTTTTTTTTTTTACAAAGCTAAGACAATTTAAATCCTTTAAGGATCTACACTGAACAACAGTAGGTGAAAAAGATTTGGTATATGTTTCAAGTGCAATACAAATGTTCTTTAAAACAAGTGCAACCTTTTGTCAAGAACTCACGTTGGTAGAAAACATGGAACTTACTCCATGTTAGCAGTGAATGATTAGCGGTGAATAATTCAAACCACATGCAACTTTAAAAGGTAGCTTTTACTGGTCAGGAGAAGCTGTAATATTGCTGGGAAAAAATGCCTGGCTGATTTATGTACATTTGTTTTGGTTTTTTTCCCCCTTCCAGATATCAAGACATTGGTGACAAGATGCCCTTATCTCATCCAGTTAGATTTAAGGTAAAAAACTGTATCAGAAACTCTTCAGCAGCCCTGAATCCAAACAGTATAAAGACATCTTTGCCCCTACTCCATTCAGGGTGCAACTTCTGTCTCTCTGGGGCCACAGCACAGAATCTGCCCCTGTGCATCTGGGTTTGTGCTAGCAGAAGCCAGAGGAACCTGTGAGTGATCGATATCTACATACATTTTCACCAGGCTCATCTCTGTTGTTTCTGAGCACCTTCAGGCAAGATCTTCTCTCTCTTTCCCCCTCTTCTCCCCCCCAAACCTAGCACAGATGTCACTCCTTGGAAGATTTATTTCTTTGCTAAATTTCAGGCTTCATCTGGATCTGTTCTGATCAGGTTCTTAAACTGTGCCCATAGTTTCCTGTTTGCTGTAGTACTGACTATCACAATATGCTGGGATTTTCTTAATGGTAGTTCTTGCCCCCTCTTTGCCTCCCCAATCACATTGAGGCCGGCTCCAACATTTTGAAGGTATTCTGCTCAAACTTTACCCCCAAAAAAATTCCTTGAGACAGAAATTGTTCCCAGAAAGTTTCTGAAACTCACCTTTTGGGCTGAGAGTTCTGACTGTGAAAACGGAAACCAGTTTGTGATGTTACTATAGAGTTTGCTTACTTTGATACTGAGCAAGTTCAATAATAAAGGGGGGAAAAATACATAGCATTTAGTACAAGATCACATCTAAAACTTGTTTTAACATAGGTGAATTTATTTGAGAATTGGTTATGCACCTCCCTCTCTTCCCTTTACCGCCTCCAGCTGTCTGATCAGTTTTGCTATAACCTTTAGGCTAGGTTCACTCATAGGTCCCTGTAGCTTTTGCTGGCAGAAATCTAGATGCATAGGCGGCAGATTCTGTGCTGGAGCCCCCCAAGAAGATAGAAATTGCAGCCTGAACGGGGTAGAGGCAAAGGTATCTTAAGCTGCCTTTGTACTACTTGGGTTCAGGGCTCTTCTCACTTGGGGCAGCTGCCAATGAGCTGCACCGCTACCGAGACTCCCTGTAGTGCTGTGGGCACATGTTGTATGCCAGGGTTGACTGTCAAGAGAAATGCTATGAAGTCTTGAAGTTAATAGCGGACTTAAGGTACAATAACTTCCAGATGAGAAAATGGTGGCCTTATATATCAGATCTCAGTGTATTAAGTGCTGCTGACTGTAAGTCACAGGGGGTATACAGCTTGACAGTACCTTCATGGGTAATATGCTAGTTACTGAGACAGGAAAAAATACTTTTCTGGAAGGGATAAGCTAAACGCATTTACCCCCAGGGGAATTCTGCACCACTGCACGCAGAATTCATGTCCCCACTGGCAGAAAATGAGGGGGAAGCAAAGGGAAGCTGCGTGGGGGCAGTGGTGGAGATGCCCAGGGGAGAGGCAAAGCATGGGGGGCACACGGTGTCACATGCCACTGGCCCCCCGCTCCCAATTGCTGAGAGCACAGAGCTGTCCAGCTGAAGGAGAGTGCTGTTCAGCTCTGCTGACTCGGCAGCTAGACACCACCTCCTAGGTCCTAGTGCTGGTCATGCCCCCCTTCTGCATGCTGGAGAACCATCCTGTTTTCTGTAGAACAGTGAAGGCCCGCAGTGGGGCAGGGTAAGGAGGGTGGTGGAAATAGGGGAAGGGTGGTGGGGTAGGGAGAAGAGGCAGTAGGGAAGGAGGGGGTGGGTGGGAAGGACAATGGGATGGGGAAGAGAAGGGTGGTAAGTGGGAGCCAAGCATGTGGCATCCCCCCAGTAGCAGCTCAGGCTCCCCAGTTAAGTAGGCCCAGCGACCCCTACCTCAGATTCCCCAACCAGCTGCATACAGACCTCCACCCCACCAAGCCCCATTTCCCCCAGGATCTGGACCCCACTGAGCCCCCATTTCCCCCCCCCCCCAACCTAACCTCTTTCACCTGGACCCCCTGCAGAGTCCCTTTACCCCTGTACCCAGAACCCCCCAACAAGCCCTTGAGCATCCATCTCCCCCGTTCCTCCCCCCCCATACTGGATTCCCCCGCTGAGCCATCTGCATCGAGATTGCCCCACACAGAACCCTCTCACCCCACATACCCACATTAAGCCCTTCCATGCTTGGATTGCACCAGGCTGAGCCTGCTTGCCCCACACCTAGATCGGAGACCAGGGCTGGGTGTGCATGTGAGAGACTGTTCCTCTCTTTTGCTATCTTGGTGCACCTGATATGGAGAGAGAGGGCCTTGGTGTGTCAGGGTCGGGTGCAGCCTTACTGCTGACTCCATGTCCAGGTGGGACTGCAGGGTGATCTCCCACCTCCATGCAGCCCGTCGCCTCTGCTCCCCACTGGAGCCTGCACATTTATTTGACCAATAAAATATACAGAATTTTGCAAACATTTAAAATAGAGTGCAGAATTTTTATTTTTTTGGTGCAGAATTCCCTCAGGAGTAATATACCTGTCATGCATTTGTAACATGATTATAAAATGTCAGTGTAATTTGATTTTTGCCATATCAACTAAACACTGGTTAGAACTCTTGACATGTAGAGCAATTTCCTTTTGTGACCTAAGTTCCTGTGCCAAAACAGCTTCCTGCAAAACAAGCTACTGCTTCCCCCCCCGCCCCCCAAAAGATAGAAATTCATCACCAATTTCTAATATGTAAGGAAGAAAACATGTTAAATTTGAAAATAATTAATAAGCTGGTAAAAATTTTTGAAGGCAGATAAGTGTTTAATGTGTACAAAACTTTTCTCCCTGAATTTCAGAAACACTTGAAACTTTGCTTCTATTGTGTTCTTGAAAAGGAATGTTTTAATCCTACTTTTGTATATCACCTTTATTACAGTGACAGTGCAATGTTGAAGCCTGAATGTTTTCAATATTTTCATCAGCTCATCTGCCTACAGCATTTGTCTCTTAGTAGATGTTATCAGATATCTCCTGCTGACTTACTGTGAGTAATGTCTTACACCCATTATAGTTGTTTACTATTAAAACTGAATTAAAAGGTGATCTGAAATACTTAATAAAAACTGCTCAAGATCCTGAACTTCTGTATAGACTTAAACTGCAAATAATATCTTTAAAAACAAGAGGAAGACTGGAATGAAGAGGCAGAACAGAGCTGATGATTACTGGGTCTCTGCTGGGGTCAGCAAAAATCTATGATGTGTCTGTCTCATTTCCCTCTAGTGCTGGTGCATGCACATGACAACCTACTACTGCGATCAGTGAATGCATTAGCTCAAGTGCCATAGGTCTGTGCTGTGGATTTAAAGGTTCCAGCTCTGCTGGTTGAACCATGTGGGTGTAAATATGATTCTAATGGAGTTCCTGGGTGTGTTTTTTCCTTCCAAGTTCACCTTTTATACTGAGGAAGTTAAAAGAATATTAAGGTTCAAAGTAAAAAACTCAGTTAGGAATTGCCCAAATTAAGATTGCCTATATAACCTTAATTTGCCTTCCTTGTGTGTATATGCATTGATGGAATCTAATTACGTGTACTGTGTTTTCCAGAGGACCCCTGTCTCATTGAGTGCACAGCATGGATGGTACTCTGAGCAACTAATCACTATTTTGTTTTATTCTCTTTGTGGCCCTATGCCTTACTTAATGCACATCATTCAAACACTGCTCTGAATATAAAATTCATTTTCTTACAGGCTTTTCTATGATGCTCATTACTACACTATTTGAATGTTTCACAAACTATGAATTTATTTGCACAAAACCTCTGAAAGGTATGAGGGTATTATCCTCATTTTACAGATGGATAACTCAGGCATAGAGGGACAGAGTTAAAAATATTTAGCTGCCTAACACTCATTGAAAATTTCACTGGACACCTAAATATCTTTAAAAATCTGGCCCCAAAAGATTAAGGTCAGAAGTGTCCACTAATGGGTGCCAAATCTGACACTTAAGACCTGATTTTTTTTTCTTCAGAGTACTTAACATTATATATCTTTTTACATGGTCAAATCACTGCGCTCATTGACTTGGTTACAGCTGTGAGTGCATAGCATTTTTGCAAAGCAGACACCAGAGTCTCACATTGGGCACTCAGAAAATGACACCGGTGACCACCTGTGAAAAGTTTGGTTTCAGTGACTTACTCAGCATCCCATAGAAACTCTGTTGCAGAGGCAGAGATAGAATCCAGTTCTCCAGGGCAGCATTCAACTGCCTGAACCACGAGACCATTTTTTCTTTTTGCAGTACCCTTCCTCATTCACTACACACCTTCAAAAACTTCTGAGGCCACAGCCTCGTTCACTACACAACCCTGATTCTTCCCTCAGACCAGGAACATCCTGTGAACTGAATGAGGCAAGTGTCATGGAGAAAAGTAGTATGCAGTCATCTAATTAAAGACTGTCATAATGCATGAATTAAAGTTGCATAGGCAACCTTAACTTTGGCATTTCCTAACTTTTGAGTGCTTGATTTTGCAACCTGAACATATTTTAACTTAGTTTTTTGTGTAATACAAAATTACGGTTGTCAAACTGACCAAAACCAAAAAATCAGCATGGTTCTGACATCAGTGGAGCTATCCTAGTTCCATTTACACCATCTGAGGATCTGCCCCATAAAGTTAACTACAGGTGAAACTTGTTGTTTTGCCCTATAATTCTAAAGCATTTTGGGTTTTAGTTCAAATATATGATGTGCCATATTGGTGTTCTTAGATGGGTATTAAAGGAAGTTATGCTTTGAGTGTTTAAAAACTCCATATTAAATCAGAAGCTGTTCATGCTAACACAACTTTGCTGTGTGACCTTGGGCAAATCAATTAGCTGTACTTCCTCTGTCCATAAAATGGGAACATCTGTCTCATGGTGGTCCGTGAGGATTTTTAGCAAAGGGAGCAGTTTTCAAAGGTGCCAAGTGCAGTTTGGCATCTTACTCTTAATGACTTTCAGTAGGAGTTGGGTGCCTGTCATTTAAAAATCTCTTCCCAAGACATGTTATTCTCTGGTGGAAGACCTTATAGAAGTGCAAGGATCAGATTACACTGATCTGAGATTCCTTCAGTACTTTTATATATAATGGAGACACTTAAGGATGACTGGTGAAACATTTTACTCTTTCAGTCTGTTACTGGGTCAGCTATGTCAACGTTAGTGTCACTTTTCTCAGTAGTAGTGAGAAGGGACTAAGTGTGAAAGCTTATCACAGACTAATAGCTCTGTAACTATTTACATATCCCTTTTAAGAGGATTAGGTGGCTCAGCTGAACAAATTTTAAAACTCAGATTATTTGCTCAGTAGTACAGAGCTTACTGCAGCCTCTGTCTAGGAAGGGGCTGTTGAAGTAGAATATCCTTATGGAAATTATTCATTAAGCCATTTCTATTTTCTAAACAACAAGATAGATTCCCTCCTTACCTAGGGCCCACAAAAAATTGTGAACAATAATATTTAGTAAAACAAAACATTAAATGATTGGATGCATATTAATATAAAACTTGTTGAAACAATGTATTTACAATAAAATTCTGTTTGACAAAGTTTAAAAATGAGAACTTGCAATGGATCTATATCGATTCCTAAACCTAGGCTGTTAAAATGGGAGTTGGAAGACCTGTAACATTGGTAGAGTGGTGTGGCTATGGGATAACTCTCTAGTGTTTGTTCCTTCTCATGAATCCATCTGTCCCTGACTGTACTTGCAAATACACATTTAAATGATAGCTGGGCAAACACAAGGAACTTTGTCTGCATGACCAGTTCAGACATTACCACAAATTCCATTCTGCTGATCCCTTGTCCAGACTGTAATCTCAACCCTGTTACTGCCACTACCACTTTATCTGGCCTGTTGCCATAACCCTTCAATCCTTTCAAAACACCACCACAAAAATCACATACCTTGTCCACCCCAGAGTCTGGTTATCTTTTGCCCTGTGTTATCAGGATTAAGCTCCTTATCCTGTTCTTCCTGGGCATTCACAGTTTGATTCTTGTCTATCTCTGTTCTCACTTGTAAAGGACTTAGCACACCATTGACGATAAATAAGAGAATATTCCATACTGTGAAAAATAGGTAATCATTAACTAAGATTATTAAAAGTATTTAAGGAGGTGACTGATGTGTAGGATTTACCATTTTGGCACAATTTGCTCCACTTATTCTGAATGTTGATTTTAATAGTCCATTGCTATTGCAGAGACACTAAATAAACAAACCAACCATGTCCTGCAATAACCTAGCATGTGTGAGGCTCATAGGTTATGAATAAAGTTACTGACATTTCATTGCACTTAAATTCCTATTTCTCTATTCAAGCTGGTTTGGCAATTGAATTTCTTACTGAATGACCAGAACAGAGCATAAAGTTTCAATTAAGTATATTTAAAATCAGGGATTTTTTTTTTAAGATAGGAACAAACATTTATCCAAAATACTATTTTCCAGACTTTTCATGAAAGAAATTGTACTATTCAGTTTGGGTAAAAGGTTTAAGGCATTTTTGCAGCCTACTGATCTGCTTGTTTTGTTTCTCCCCTTTTAGTGAGCTTGGTGAAATTCCCACACTAAAGACTCTTCAAGTTTTTGGAATAGTGACTGACAATTCCCTACAGCTCCTAAAAGAAACGCTTCCCCACATAAAGATCAATTGTTCGCATTTTACAACCATTGCACGGCCAACTGTTGGCAGCAAAAAGAACCAGGAGATCTGGGGCATCAAATGCAGACTGACACTGAGAAATCCTAGTGGTTTGTGATGCAGCGTTTGCTGGATATTTCCTTTTGTTGTCACCAAGCGTGGTGTGCTTCATCAAGAAACCCAACACTGGAGCATCACTCTAGTTGTTCTTGTAAAAAGTGTTTTAACTTGGTCTTGTGCTATAACTTACTTTCATAAGTATATTTTTATATTGTCCTTCTCTTACTGTGTCCAGAAATCCAATCAGGTATGAGTAATTGTAAGCATTTTAAAAGTCAATCTTGCTTTTGCAAAAATCTTTCTAAAAGCAAGTGACTCTTGCAATTGTGCTAAACATGATTAAGTTAGAAAGTTTGGTAATAAATAGTGCAGCTGGTCTAGTTATTTGGCAATGTACTTAATTCTGCAGTCTGTGATGTTGCTTTATTGGAAGTGTGAGGGTCCAAAGGTGCTTCTGTAATATTTTTCCAAATACATAGCTTTGCGTAAGGCCCTTGCAAAGTAGAGATGTTGTGTCATCAGGGAACTGTTTTACTTCATTACAACTCAGTACATTCCTGACAGTTTCAGATTTTAGAGCTCAGAATGAGTAAGGGCATTAAGTCTATTTAAACTCTTAGCACCAAATATTCCATCTTGTTCAGTTATCTGCTTTTTTCAGGGGGGAAGGAGGGAGAAATAAACCATGGCGTTGGACACTAAATTCACTGAACCCGCTTAATGCAATAGGAGCCGTGAGAGCCATACAAAAGGAGCTATGAGAAAGCTGAATCGGATACTAGTTACAAGGCAGTAGAACAGAGCTATAGTGCATTTTTTCCAACAATTACAGAAGTGTGACTCTGTGTTTCAAAATGACCATGCTGAGGAGTTTAAAACTTGAAAACCCTTTGCAAGTTTGTGAAACCAAGGATCTCACCTGTCAGGGTGAAGTTTTCATTAGGTATTTTAGTCTGACTTACATTCCAGTTCTATGCCACTTAATCAGCATTTTTCTTCTGATTTGTGATTTCAACAGTTTCTAAAGATGCATTATTAATGCAAGAATCTCTTCATAGGTAAGCTTCGTAGGTTTCTGTTTATATAGCCCTGTATTCACATCCCTTGAGACTCTGCAGGGCTAAGGAGCAGTAAAGAGGGAAATACACAGAACTCCAGAGCTCTTCAGGGCAAGTAACGTAAGGGGTCACTGGGATTTAAATGGACATCAAGCGTTCCACAGTACAGAAGCAGCAGTATTGCAGATATGCTTGCTATAGCCGAGGGAGATATAAGTCACCACAGATTCCCTTAGCTTCTACAATGCAGAAAATGTGGCAAACTAAGTTTCTAGGCTCTCTTGTCCCAGTTCTTGTATTTTAAAGAAACCTGCCCAAAACTTAGCAACTTTGATGGTAGTTCAGAAGAGAAAAATATGAAAGTATAGAAATGAACAACTAGATAACTATTCAAGCCTATAAAAGGGGAAAGGATAGATAGGTGGCTAAGGCATGGGAGTAAGCCTTAGATCTGGTTCTTTGTGCCTCTGTTCACCATCTGTAAAATGGCTGTAGTACATCCCTATGTTTGAGGTGCTGAGAATAAGTTTATTCATGACTGAGGTGGTTAGACAGAAAGGTGCCAAGGCCATAAGGTTACCTACAGAAAAATGTATGTACAGTAGACCATAAGTTACAAACTGACTGGTCAACTACACACCTCATTTGGAACAGCAAGTACGCAATCAGGCAGTAGCAGAGATGGAAAAAGTACAGTGCTGTGTTAAAACTTTCCCTTTTTATTTTAGTGGGTTTTTTGTTTGTTTTTTATTAAAGATTTGAGGTAAGAAAACTTGTGCTCTTCATTTAAGTTAAAATTAGCATTTTTGTTTTGCATAATGCAGTTTCAAAGTTATATTAAATCAAAGTTCAGTTGTAAACTTTTGAAAGAACTACTATAATGTTTTGTTCAGATTTATGAACAACCTCTAGTCCCAAGATGTTTGTAACTGAGATTCTACTGTATAACCATAAAGTAGTTTCAGTAATAGAACATGTGCTGATAACAGGGAAAGAGGACCTGAGTTTTTCCTTTTCCCCCACCCTTGTTCCCTTGGGGGGTGGAGCAGCTGACAAATTTCCAGCAGGTTTAAACATTTATGTAGCAATTCACATATCCTGGGTATCATTAACTGTGCTGGCACTTTAAGCAGCTAGCAGACATCGAGCCCAATCTAAGTCTTCCTGGATACTCATTTCTATATCCCACCAATCTGGTAATAGATTCACCATAGTTTGTCAGCCTTTTGCTGTAACGCTCAATTAAGTCTCACTTCTGAATTTATACTTGCAACCAGTGTGACACGATATGGCACTCAACACCTATCTGTGCCTGGCCCCAGTAGGGAGTTTAAAAAAACAACAACCACCCTCTCCAGGGTGTTGGAGCAACAGAACCCTACCTCACAGGACCATCCAGGCTATTAGAGATGGCTATTGCTAATCAGTTTTACATGGAAGGTGATCAAGTGCTATAGTGAGGGGCAGAAGTATAAAACATTAAGGGTACATCTACACTTAACACTACAGCTGCACTGCTGTAACACCTATGCTGACAGGAGGGATTCTCCTATTGGTGTAGATAATCCACCTCCCCAAGAGGCCATAGCTACATCAATGGAAGAATTCTTCTGTCAACCTAGTGCTACACCAGCTTAACTACACCACTCAGGGGCTTTTTCACACCTCTGAGTGATATAGTTATGCCAATCTAATTTTCTAGTGTAGACCAGGCCTAAAATATGCTCTCTCTCATCTGATGACTCTTAACCCATTCAAAAGTCATTAAATATCTCCAGCTGGAGGTGAATCACTTATTTAGGTATGGAATTAGACCCTTTATTATCACATATAACGGTTTGGGGTAGTGTTGACTGGAAGTAATAGTGCCAATCTGTTGCTTTCATTCAGACTATTTCTCCCACTTGACATCTTGCTCTGAGTTTACTGAGGACAGCCCTGTTATTACATATCTAAGCAGCCTGACATTTTTTAAATACCTTGCATGAATAAGGTCTTCATAGCATGGGATCCTAAAGACTTAACTTATAATTAATTATAAAGACAAAGGCATTAAGGGGTGAAGTGTTCTCTGCATAACTTGATACATTTAAAAAACCTCCTCTTAGGTTCAGCACAGTTGCATATGTTTCATAGTTTAGGAAACTACAACAAAACTAAAGTTGATAAGTAGTAAATCTAGATCAAGTGAAAGTCTTTAAGCTTGGAATACAGAAGAGTATTGTAACTTGTATTTCTCTCCATAAATATTGTAATAGCAAAAGCTACAGCATTTCACTGTTGTACTCCAATAAACTAATTTTTAAAAAATTATCAAACCTCTTGCTGTGGTGACAGGAAAGTAACTTGAAAAATATCACTTGTGGAATGGGAAATGTTTATATGCACTTGAAGTGCACTAAAAGCTACAGCTATGGATGAGTGTGCTTGGACTACACTCTTACTCTAGGACTGTCTTATTTGAAGACTTTCACAACATGCTACTGTGTTCACCAAGATCAGGACGGTGCAAATCTGTCATCCAGGTAAGATGCAAAAACCTACTTTAACTGAGCTTTTCCACACCATCACCAAGGGACGGGGGGGAAATGGAACATGCGAGAAAAACTGAAGTCCATACAGGTTGAAGTGAGGTACAAGTCTGTACACTAAAATTAAACTCCTAGCACAGTGATGGAATAGAAAATGCTTTAAATCCTGTCCAAATTAAATATTTAAGATGAATAAGATATGTTTGGAAGAGTCGACATGAGTATTGTAAAAGGAAATCATGCCTCACCCATTAGAATTCTTTAAGGGTATCAAGCATGTGGACAAGGGTAATCTAGTGTACTTCAACTTTCAGAAGGCCTTCACTGAGGTCCCACCTCAAAGGCTCTTAAGCAAAAACAAGTAGTCCTGGGATAGAGGGAAGGTCCTTATGGATCAGTAAGGATCTGTACTGTTCAACATATTCATAAATGATCTGGAAAAGGGTGTAAACAGTAAGGTGTCAAAGTTTAGACCATACAAAATTACTCAAGATAGTCAAGTCAAAAGCAGACTTCAAAAAGTTAAAGGGATCCCACAAAACTGGGTCACAAAAAGGCAGATGAAATTCAGTGTTGATAAAAACAAAGTAATTCATGTTGGAAAACAGACTGCATTTTTGTATATATAGTTGGGATTAATTTAGCACTTACCACTCAAGAAAGATCCTGGATATCATGGGCAAGTTCCCTGAAAACATCCACTCAACGTGCAGTAGCAGTCACAAAAGCTAACGTTAGGAACTATTAGGAAAGGGATAGACAACACAGTAAATATAAGCCACTATATAAATCCATGGTATGCCCACACATTGAATACTGTGTGCAGTTCTAGTCAACTCATCTCATAAAAGATATTAGAATTGAAAAAGGTGCAGAGAAGTTCAACAATGATTAAAAAGGCTTGGGACAGCTTCCATAAGGAGAGATTAAAAAAAAACTAATACTGTTCAGCTTAGAAAAGAAATGACTGTGGGGGGGGCGGGGGGAGGCGGTCAAGAAATGTCTATAAAATCATGAATGCTGTGGAGACAGTGAATAGGGAATTTATCCCTTCATATAAACACAAGAACAAGGGGGTCAGCCAATTAAATTAATAGCCAGCAGGTTTAAAACAAACATAAGGAAGTACTTCTTCACACAACAGACAATCAACCTGTGAGACTCGTTGTCAGGATGGTATGAAGGCCAAAAGTATAACTGGATTAAAAAAGAATCAGATAAGTACATGGAGGATAGATCCATTAATGGCTATTAGCCAAGATGGTCAGGGACACAACTCCATGCTCTGGCTATCCCTAAACTTCTGACTGCCAGAATCTGGGCCTGGACAATAAGGGATGGATCATTCAGTAATTGCCTGGTACTGTTCATTCTCTCTGAGGCACCTGGCACTGCCCACTGTCAAAGACAGTATACTGGGCTAGATGGACCACTGGTCTGACCCAAGATGGCCATTCATATGTCAACAACAAATCTAGCTCTCATTATATAGACAAGTGTGTAAAGATAGTTTTAATTGTTTGGGGGAAAAAAGATTCAGTCCTATTAATTAGGTAGATATAAATCAAGCAAAGCTTGCTGTAACCATAGTAGTAGCTTACAGGAAATCCTGAAACATTTATAACAAGGAGTCCTTGTGGCACCTTAGAGACTAACAAATTTATTTGGGCATAAGCTTTCGTGGGCTAGAACCCACTTCATCAGATGCATGGAGTGGAAAATACAGTAGCAGGTATATATATACACACCTAGTACATGAAAAGATGGGAGTTGCTTTCCCAAGTGTGTGTGTGTGTGGTGGGGGGGGGGGGCGATCAGTCTAATGAGACAATTCAATTAACAGTAGAATACCAAGGGAGGAAAAATCACTTTTGTAGTGTCACAGCAAACCTGGTGGCTGAACTTTGTGACTTTGTCCTCACCCACAACTATTTCAGATTTGGGGACAATTTATACCTTCAAGTCAGCAGGACTGCTATGGGTACCCGCATAGCCCCACAGTATGCCAACATTTTTATGGTTAACTTAGAACAACCCTTCCTCAGCTCTCATCCCCTAACGCCCCTACTCTGCTTGCGCTACATTGATGATATCTTCATCATCTGGACTCGGGGGAAGGAGGCTCTTGAGGAATTCCACCAGGATTTCAACAATTTCCACCCCACCATCAACCTCAGCCTGGACCAGTCCACACAAGAGATCCACCTCCTAGACATAGCTAATAAGCGATGGTCACATAAACACCACCCTATTCCGGAAACCTACTGACCGCTATACTTGCCTACATGCCTCCTGCTTTCATCGAGACCACATCACACGATCCATTGTCTACAGTCAACCTCTAAGGGTATGTCTACACTACGAAATTACTCTGATTTTACAGAAGTCGATTTTTGGGAACAGATTGTATAAAGTCGAGTGCATGTGTCCACACTAAGCACATTAATTCGGTGGTGTGTGTCCATAGTACTGTGGCAAGCGTCGACATTCCAAGCGGTGCACTGTGGTAGCTATCTCACAGTTCCCGCAGTCCCTGCTGCCCATTGGAATTCTGGGTTGAGCTCCCAATGCCTGATGGGGCCAAAAATTTGTCGCGGGTGGTTATTGGTAAATGTCTTCAGTCAACCCTCCCTCTGCCAAGCAATGACAGACAATCATTTTGCACCTTTTTCCCTGGATTGCCCGAGCAGATGCCATAGCACAGCAACCATGGAGCCCGTTCAGCTCGCAGCAGCAATGAGCATTGTAAACACCTCGCGCATTATCGTACAGTTTATGCAGAACCAGAAGCTGAAAAACCAGGCGAGGAGGTGACGGCAGCGCAGTGACGAGAATGATGAGGACATGGACGCAGACTTCTCTCAAAGCACGGGCCCCGGCAATGTGGACATCATGGTGTTAATAGGGCAAGTTCATGCCGTGGAACGCAGATTCTGGGCCCGGTAAACAAGCACAGACTGGTGGGATCGCATAGTGTTGCAGGTCTGGGATGATTCCCAGTGGCTCCGAAACTTTCGCATGAGAAAGGGCACTTTCATGGAACTTTGTGACTTGCTTTCCCCGCCCTGAACTGCAAGAATACCAAGATGAGAGCAGCCCTCACAGTTCACTAGTGAGTGGCGATAGCCCTCTGGAAGCTTGCAACACCAGACAGCTACCGGTCAGTCGGGAATCAATTTGGAGTGGGCAAATCTACTGTGGGGGTTGCTGCCATGCAAGTAGCCAACGCAATCACTGAGCTGCTGCTATCAAAGGTAGTGACTCTGGGAAATGTGCTTTGCTGCAATGGGATTCCATAACTGTGGTGGGACGATAGACGGAACCCATATCCCTATCTTGGGACCGGACCACCAAGGCAGCCAGTACATAAACCACAAACCATAAACCAGGGGGATGAGCATTGGCCTGCTAAACCCAGGATTGAGAGTTCAATCCTTGAGGGGGCCACTTAGGGATCTGAGGCAAAATCAGTACTTGGTCCTACTAGTGAAGGCAGGGGGGTGGACTCAATGACCTTTCAAGGTCCCTTCCAGTTCTAGGAGATAGGATATCTCCATTAATTAATTAATTAATTATATTTACAAGGGGTACTTTTCAATGGTGCTGCAAGCACTGGTGGATCACAAGGGACGTTTCACCAACATCAATATGGGATGGCCGGGAAAGGTTCATGACGCTCACGTCTTCAGGAACTCTGGTCTGTTTAAACAGCAGCAGGAAGGGATTTACCTCCCAGACCAGAAAATAACTGTTGGGGATGTTGAAATGCCTATAGTTATCCTTGGGGACCCAGCCTACCCCTTAATGCCATGGCTCAAGAAGCCATACACAGGCACTCTGGACAGTAGTAAGGAGCTGTTCAACTATAGGCTGCGCAAGTGCAGAATGGTGGTAGAGTGTGCATTTGGATGTGTGAAGGGTCGCTGGTGCAGTTAACTGACTCGCTTAGACCTCAGCGAAACCAATATCCCCATTGTTATTGCTGCTTGCTGTGTGCTCCAGAATCTCAGAGTAAGGGGAAGACGTTTATGGTGGGGTGGGAGGTTGAGGCAAATCGCCTGGCTGCTGATTACGTGCAGCCAAACACCAGGGCGATTAGAAGAGCACATCAGGAAGCACTGTGCATCAGAGAAGCTTTGAAAACCAGTTTCATGACTGGCCACGGTACCATGTGACAGTTCTATTTGTTTCTCCTTGATGAAAACCCGTCCCCTTGGTTGACTCGAATTCCCTGTAAGCCAACCGCCCTCCCCCCTTCAATCACAGCTTGGAAATAAAGTCACTATCGTTTAAAAACCATGTATTCTTTATTAATTGATTATAAAAATAGGGAGATAACTCACAAGGTAGCCCAGGTGGGGTGTGGGAGGAGGGAAGGAAAAGGCCACTTCAATACTTGTTGAATGACAGTCTTCTGTCCACTGGGGTGGAGTGGTTGGGTGCCCAGAGCCTCCCCCAACCCTTTCTTGGGCACCTGGGTGAGGAGGTGGCTATGGAACTTGGGAAGGAGGGAGGGCGGTTAAACAGGGGCTGCAGCGGCAGTCTCTCCAGCTGACGTTCCTGAACCTCCACCAGACGCCGGATCATGTTTGTTTGTTCCCGCAGTAGCCCCAGCGTTGCATCCTGTCTCCTCTGATCTTCCTGCCACCACCTCTCCTCACGTTCACTGGCCACTTTACTGTCCTGTGCTATTGTGTCCCTCCACACTTTCGGCTGAGCTCTTTCAGGGTGGGATGCCTGAATGAGCTGAGAGAACATTTCATCGTGCGTGCGTTTTTTTCGCCGTCTTATCTGAGATAGCCTTTGGGACGGAGGAGGGAGGCTTGAAACATTTGCAGCTGCGGGAGGAATAAAAGGGAGAGAAGTATTTAAAAAGATACATTTTACAGAACAATGGGTATACTCTTTCACGGTGAACACTATTCACATTATATAACACGTGATTTCAGTACAAGGTCATTTTTTGCATCTTATATTGAGTGCCTGCGGCTTTGGTGTTAGCGATCAAACACACCGGGCAACAGAATTCGGATTGCAGGCGGCCATCATAAGCCATAGTCTTTCGGCTTCTGCAACCTTCATAACAGCAACGCCCTCCTTTCCAATACCAAGCAAAGCCCGTTGAGTTGTCCATTTAGGGCTGCGTTTTTCATGTTAACATGCAGCAGCAGAAACCAAACTACCCCAGCCTCCATCCTTTTCTCTGGGATAACCGCTTTAACCCTCCCCCCACCGCACCGCTCCCTGCTAGCCAAACGTGAACAGCTCAGCGTGAAGCCCCCCCCCCATCCTTTTCTCTGCGATGATCGCTTTAACCCTTCCCCAATCGCGTGGCTGGCATCAGGGAAGATCCCTGCTAGCCAAATGCGAACAGCTCAGCACCAATACTCCCCCTCTCCCGCCACCGCTTGGCTAACTGCAGAGAGGATTTCTTTTCAGCCACAGGCAAACAGCCCAGTAGAAACGGCCACCTATGAATGTCCCCTTAATTAAATTCCCATATTTCAACCAGGTTACCATGAATGATATCATTCTCATGAGGATAACACAGAGAGATAAAGAACGGATGTTGCTTGAATGCCAGCAAACACCGGGACCATACGCTGCCAGGCTTTGTCATGCAATGATACCAGATTACTTGCTACTAGCATGCAGTGGTAAAGTGTCTTACCATGGAGGACGGAATAAGGCTGCTCTACCCAGAAACCTTCTGCAAAGGCTTTTAGAGTACCTCCAGGAGAGCTTCATGGAGATGTCCCTGGAGGATTTCCGCTCCATCCCCAGACACGTTAACAGACTTTTCCAGTAGCTGTACTGGCCACGAATGCATCCCAAGTCCTCAGGGCAAATTAATCATTAACGAACGCTTGCTTTTAAACCATGTTTTATATTTACAAAGGTACACTCACCAGATGTCCTTTCTACAGCTCCTTGGTCTGGGATACCGCCTTGGGAGGGTATTTCAGTCAGGGTGAGAAAAAGATCCTGGCTGCCGGGGAGAACGGTGTGCTGTGTGCTTTCCTCAACCTCCTCCTTCTCCTCATCTTCCCTGTCTGCAAAATCCTCAGGCATGGCGACTGAGAGTACTCCATCATCAGAGTCCATGGACGGGGTGGGGTAGTGGTGGTGGCACCTGCTAGAATTGCCTGCAGCTCAGCGTAGAAGCGGCATGTCTGCGGCTCTGTCCCGGAGCGTCCATTTGATTCTTTGGCTTTCTGGTACGCTTGTCTCAGCTCCTTAAATTTCACGCAGCACTGTGTTGAGTCCCTGTTGTGACCTCTGTCCATCATGGCCTTGGAGATTTTTTTCAAATGTTTTGGCATTCCAGCTTTTGGAACGGAGTTCTGATAGCACAGAATTTGTCTCCCCATACAACGATCAGATCCAGTACCTCCCGTATGGTCCATGCTGGAGCTCTTTTTCAATTCTGGGACTGCATGGTCACCTGTGCTGATGAGCTCTCCACGCTGGGCAAACAGAAAATGAAATTCAACAGTTCGCGGGGCTTTTCCTGTCTACCTGGCCAGTGCATCGAGTTCAGATTGCTGTCCAGAGCGGTCACAATGGGGCACTGTGGGATAGCTCCTGGAGGCCAATACCGTCAAATTGCATCCACACTAACCCTAATTCGAACTGGCAATGTCGATTTCAGCGCTACTCCTCTCATCGGGGAGGAGTACAGAAATCGATTTTAAGAGCCCTTAAAAAAGGGTTAATTCGATTTAACGCTGCTAAATTCAACCTGAACTCGTAGTGTAGACCAGGCCTAAAATACAACTGCATTTGCTCCAATCCCTCAGACAAAGACAAACACCTACAGGATCGCTATCAAGAGTTCTTAAAACTACAATACCCACCTGGTGAAGCTAAGAAACAGATTGACAGAGCTAGAAGGGTACCCAGAAGTCACCTAAAAGACAGGCCCAACGAAGTAAGTAACAGAACACCACTAGCCGTCACCTAAAGCCCCCAACTAAAACATCTCCAGCGCATCATCAAGGATCTACAATCTATCCTGAAGGACGATCCCTTACTCTCACAGCCCTTGGGAGACAGGCCAGTTCTCGCTTACAGACAGCCCCCCAACCTGAAGCAAATACTCACCAACAACTACACGCCACACAATAAAAACACTAACCCAGGAACCAAACCCTGCAACAAACCCCGGTGCCAACTCTGTCCGCATATCTATTCAAGGGACAACATCATAGGACCTAACCACATCAACCACACAATCAGGGGCTCATTCACATCTGCACATCTACCAATGTGATATATGCCATCACGTGCCAGCAATGCCCCTCTGCCATGTACATTGGCCAAACTGGACAGTCTCTATGCAAAAGAATAAATGGACACAAATCTAACATCAGGAATTATAACACTCAAAAACCAGCAGGGGAACACTTCAACCTCCCTGGTCACTCAATAACAGACTTAAAAGTGGCAATTCTTCAACAACAAAAACTTAAAAAACAGATTCCAACATGAAACTGCAGAACTGGAATTAATTTGCAAACTGGACACCATCAAATTAGGCCTGAATAAAGACTGGGAGTGGATGGGTCATTACAAAAACTAATTTTGCCATACTAATTTCCCCTGCTGTTACTCACACCTTCTT